TGATGCTGCCAGCGAAACTATTAATTGCGTCACATCGTTTTATTTCCGTTTCGGAGTTCGACCGATCTCGCGCCCGACTCGTCACCCACGCGTCGATCTCGCGTTGAATCCGGATTCCGTTCTGTCCTCACTTTCGTCCTGAAGAAGCCGGTCTCAGCCTCGATTGCATAATTTCCAAGTCGGCGTTTATTACATCGGGCATTTCGACCGGCAGGTTTTCGCAGGGAATTCAGCGTCGAGCGTCCTTACTTGGAATTTCCAGGTTGTAACCCCGCGTTAATGCTCGTCGTCGCGGCTCGGAGAGTGCGGAAAAGGTCCTCTCTATTGCACGATTCTCCACCACACACGCAGGTACTATCATTTATCTAGTGGGCCTTATCGCCGCCCACTCGTAAATCATCCATCACTGACCGCACAGGAAGAGAGAGAGAGAGAGAGAGAGTGGAGGGTGAAACGCAAATTCGTGCTCCTCACGCCTTTCGTCGCGACGCCGGTTGACATTTCAACGTGTTTTCGTGTGCGCACACGTACCCCCCGTACCAATTTCAATCTCTCCTCCGCTGTCTCACTGTGTATATCATTAGAGTTAACAAAACGTCGCCGCCGGTTTAACCTTTCGCGAGCGCGACGAGGAGGCGGTGCTGCGAATGCGCCGATCGCGTTTCCTTTTTCTTTTTTTCTCTCTCTCTTTCTCTCTCTTTCTCCCTCCCTCTCTCTCTCTCTCTCTCTCAAACGGCTCGTTACTTTTTGCTTACGCAAGCTTTGGAAGCTACTCTCGAGCCGCAGGCGAAACACCGCACACGCACATGCGTCGCACACACATCCGAAACACATCCGACCTATTTTATGCGTTTTAATAAAAAGGAAAAGAGAAAAAAATTATTCTATTGGATCTCCGTCTCACCATGTGTGTTGCTTCATTAACCACGATCGCCGCGCGTCGATAAAATTCACCGAGTGAATTCTTTCATGGGATTAATTAATCCCAAAGTCGTCTATCGTCTTTGCAGCGACACGGTTGTAATGCCTGCGATGGCGTAAGGAATCAAATGAAGTCCCGGTCGGCGAAGGTGAGGTAAAGCGTTCACGCGTGTACTTGGCCGTTCGGCGTACTTCGACGACGTAATTACTCATTAAACTGAGCGTCCGTGTCAAGACGCGTCACCGGATACGATCGCAAGCTTGCTCGTCTCGCTTCGAAAGCCGGCTACACGTGTGCACGCAAGTGTTTGTGCAAAATCGGACATTGGAATTAATGCCATCGACACCATCGAGAAATCGAGATCTTTGACGGCGCGACTGTGAAAGTTATCGCTCAAAAAAAGAATTCGAGTAGCCTCGCCCGAGAACAAAATAATTATTAACGAATTACTGTGAGATACAATTGCGAAATAAATTGACGCGGATTGACGCGAGCCTCTGAACTCGCACAAACCGGCGCAAATCTCTCGTTCCAAACGTCGGGTGTAATCCGACCGGCCGAAACATTCGTGCGATTCGATGCTCCGCAAAAGGATAAGGAAAAAGAGGGCGAAAGGGAGTGAGAGAGCGAGAGGGTGAGCGAGAAAGAACGTAGGACTCTCGTCTTCTTCTTCGTGATCTTTGCATAATCGATGTATAATCATCGAAGTCTGCGTTTACGGTCGCGAATCGTGACGAGCACTGACTTTCTCACGTGCAAAAAACGTAAAGACGAAAACGATGGGAGGCGTTTCAACATTAGAACGGCGGCCCGAGCTGTACGGGGCGCGAATGTTTTACAAGTTAATCCCCGTGACGTCGAAATGGCATTACTGCACGTCCGCAGGGAAGAGCAGAGCCAGCCGAGATTAATTACATCGGCCAACTAATTTCGCATCATAAATCGCATCCTTTGTACTTTCAATCCTTTCCATATATGTTTATCTGTCGAAGCGGCAAACGAAGATAAAAAAATCCTTTAGCTATAGCTCAAGAAATACAGGATAGAAATATTTCATATACTCCTTTTCATTATCCGTGCATTATCTCTATTAGACCAACTGACGCATAAATATAACATTGAACAAGAAGAAAAAAGTAATCATATTTTCAATATTTTGTGTACACACGTGTCCATCTCGACTTCGCTTTAAATTAACATTTATCATATAAGTAGCGAAATAAATGTGTAGGGACGTCATATCGCTTGATAAATACAAAATTTATGAGAGACCCCTCTGATGCGCTATGGACATGCGACACTAATGAGCCATTCATCCTTAAACGGAATTTGTTATTGCAAAGCATTCGTCGTCGTATCTTTTGAAATGGCAAGGTCACCAGTAGAGTGTTACGTCACCAACTTTCCTCCGACGCGTATAACTTCGAGAAAACCAAATGTCACAATGACCAAGGACGCGTACTGCCGCGTGTAACATCGCCGCTGGCCACCACGCGATGAAACTGCGCGCGCGACGTAGGAATCCGCGGCGCGAGAGTTTTGGCTTTCACATTCCCAGCCGGGTCGCCGCCGAAAACCGCCGGCGAGGTGGACGCATCCTCGAGGGAGCACCAGGTAAGCGCGTGTGCACGAGAGAACGCGACCATAGCCTCGTTGTTGTTGTTGTTGTTGTTGTCGTCGAGGTGTCTGGGAAAATGACGGCGGAAAATCCGCGCGGAATTTGCGCGCTCGGGGAAGGAAGGCGCTTTCGAAAGTCGCGAGTATTCCCGCGAGCTCCGAAGATCGAGACATTCGAGACCTCAGATAGATCGCAGGGATCTATCGAGTGTTTGCCCGAATGCCCACCGTTGCTGGAGATGCTAAGTTGCGAAAATGGCGAGATTCGCGCCGCGCTGAATCTCATTGCACCGTTAAAATCGCGACGCGTCAAATAAATATATGGCAGATTCGAGTTTAACGATCTCTTTCCGCAACGCGCAATCGATCGGGCGATCGCGAGAAATCGCCGCGTTTATCGCGACGATGTGCGAGTACGGAAATCGGACATGATGATTGAAAGATCGAAGGAATGTTATGTAATGTTTTTTAATATTATAGAAATGTTCCATCGATGTTACACTTCGCATAATATTCTTGGCACGTTATAAAATTGTCTTAGAATATTAAAAAAAATAATAATAATATAGAAAAAAAATATATAAATTAAAAAAATATATATATATGTATACATGTAAAATATAAAACGTATTATTTCAAATGTTATATTTTTTATCCTGGCGAGAAAGCTTGTTTCCGCCCTAATTACGATTCATTCGTTGGCATAATCAAGCCAACGGAATTTGATCGCAACGAGTACGCGGCAGCGACGATGATTTCGTCGTAACAAGCAAGATCACTTTTCTCCGGCGATGCAACAGCGTCGATTAGGTTTTTAATCGGCCGGTCTATCTTCCCTCGATTGGCAACCGGCAAACGCCGTGTAAATAAAAACTTTGACGACGATCGAAGTAATACTGCGCGTACTGACACAAGCGGGAACAACGGGAACAATCGCCTTTGTGCCGACGTTGAGCCGTCCTTGGCAATGATTCACGGCGGGATTCCTCCCGCGCGGAAAATCGTTTCGAGAAGCGAATTGTTTCGCGATGGCTGAATGAGCAACGGACGAGCGCCGACGCGCAGATCTCAGATACGCACACGTGCGAACCGTTTCGGTCTCTCTCCGCGGTTGCGTAAAATCTCGGAATCTCGCGCGGCTGGAAAAAACTCAAATCGCACGTATGGACGCATCCGTATGAACGCCTGTGTCTAATTGCAGAAGCAATCATGGTAGTATGCACATACAGGTATCGTCGTCCGCAGGTATTATGCATATGTCGAGACGACGCGTGCGATGTCGACGCGTAGAGTCAACAGTACTTCTTACTCTCTTGAGGCAATAATTGTTTGCATCAGTAAATATCACTAACGTTCCACGACGCAGTTCTCTCTCTCTCTCTCTCTCTCTGTGTGGATAATGTCGCGATGAGAAGTTCCGTCACGCCTCCGGCAGGACGCTCTGGCGTGAAGAGGCAAATGACACTTTTGTCGGCGCGTGGAGAAGAAAAAACCTATCGGCTTATGTAATCATCTCATTACACGTTTAATCGCAATTTGCCTTATTTATCCGTCGACGAGAGGCGTCCCTTATCGCGGGATTCTCCGTAAACGCGGATTACGCGCGAATAATGTTCGATCGCGCGAAACACGCTCCTCGAGACGACGAGTCACCGCCGTCTAATTATTGCTAATTACCACCAAATTTACATACATACGCGCGCTCACGCCTCTTGAAATTCGATTAATTTACAGCGTGATTTTCAGCGTGATTTGCAGCGTGACGGAGCGCGCTGCTACCGCGGATTTGCGAGTCGCCGAGTCCTCGCGGAAAATCTGGCTTGTTCGGTAAACCTGCGGTAAAATCGATATGCCGGAACAATCGTACGAGAGAGCTATTTTATCATATCTTATTCTATCACTCTTATATTGACGTTTAAAGAGACCGTAAGGCTCAGCGTCATATTTTTGATGGTGCATCAACTCCTACAGCACAAATGTTCAAAAAATATCCTAAAGACGTCCCAGGGATATTGAAATATTCTGGAACGTCTCTGGGATGTCCTTTGATCATTTGTGCTACATGAGAACGGAGTTACTTATAAATTTAGTATTTATCAAGGAAAATTGCGTTCCTGTGTATTTATTTCACTATCTAAATAACAAATATTAATTTGAAACAAAGTTGCGAGCATGCGTGCAATATTATATTTATCGTAAATATAAGAATATTATTTTTTATCCTTCTTATTATAATGCTGTACTTATGCATCCGTTGCTCTAATAGAAAGAAGAACATATGCGCTCAAATACATGTACATATATAGAGGAAGAGGTGGTATTATGACCTCCTCGTATATCCTCAATCATCACCGTCGTCGTCGTCGTCATCGTCGTCGCTGCAACAGCGGGCAGCGACTATCTAATAGCGGGGCTGGCGACGTCTGCATCGCCGGTCGCGATGCATCCTGGCCCGGGAGCGCGGGAGACTCATCCGCGAATCTGTCGGGGCTGCTGCCTGCCTGCAGCAGGTGGAGGGGGGGGATGTGCATCGACATTGCGATTTTCCGCCTATATAAAGGCAGATGCACCGGAGATCTTTGGTATCACGTATCGCTCGTCGTTGTCGTTTAAGGGCAAAGGGCCGCCTTGCGGATCGCTCGCACCAGCGACCACGAGACAGACAGAGAGAGAGACAGAGAAAAAGAGAGAGAGCCATGGAGATGAAGACGGTGGGTCCATCGTCCTCGGGAGAGGTCCGGAGGGCTAATCTCCGACGCAGCAGGACACACACACGCAATTCGGCGCGCGATCGGGCCAATTCTTTAGCCGATGACCGAGAAGCAAACGGGCGGTGGGAGGGGCCGTCGGCCGCTTTCGGGCCCGAAACTCGGCAGCCTCCCGATTTTTTTTTTTTTGCGCAACAGTGAAAGTGAAGAGGATTTGTGACATTTGTGAGCGCGCGCGCGAGATTACGCACGTTTTTCGCGCGTGATACGCGCGCGACGCCGGGGTGCCTCGCGGAGCCTCGACCGCGATTCTAACGCGCGACGTAATTCGCGCCGGCGAATTTAGAATCGAGATTTTTCCTTGAGAGCCGCGAGAGGAGGACACCGGTGAGACCGTCCGACGGTAGAATATCTCGACGACCGGGAGAGAGGAGGGTACACACGGCGTCACGAATGCCTTCCCAGTCAACATCGAGAGAGAGCCTCAGTTACGTTACTATGTTTCGTTTGTAATTTCGCGCTCAACGATGTAAACGCAATGTAACACTGATATTATGTCACCCCCTAAAACGGAGATCACGCGATTTTTAGCCTTACTCGTGCACACATAAGATCGAAATCGTGGTAATTAGAGCCATCGTAACTCCATCGTTGCAATCCGAGTCACTTGTTGTGCGACTCTCGACCTTAATCGCACGTGCGTAAGCTTGAAAATCGCGTGACTACCGATATCTAGGGAATGACAAGGCATTCATGAGGCAGTGTGTAGTACGGTCGGCGTCTTATATGCTGTAAACACCGACTAATAGTAACGTTGCATCAATATTGCAGTTTCTCACTCGATAATATAAGTGCGATATGACATGCGTTGTATATAACGATTACATTGTTGAGTGAGAAATTGCGACATTGTTACCGTTAATCCCGGAGAGGAGTCGGTCCCCGCTTGCTCGTGGAACCAATTACGGGATTTTGACTTAGTTCTATGATGTAACAATCTAATACTGGTCGCTGAAGGTCAGATTCTAGGAAAGAACCGATTTTTGCCGATGCAATTGCCACGAGCCTTGCCGATTTGCATTTTCGTGACAAACGTCCGTCGCCTCTTCGCGACAAATGTATCTTATATTCGTGAAACACCGCGAGAGACAAATTAATCCGCGAGTTATAAAACAGCGAGTTAACATAACATTCGATTGTCTCGGGACGCCGCGATCTTCGCCCGACGGCTGAGAGACGAAGAGGCTCCTCTTAATGTTCCCTCGCCGTTCTGCTTCTCCGCAGATCCTCGTTATTTGGGTGGTCCTTGTGGCCGGTGCTCTGGCGGCGCCGCAGCTTAACCCGAACGAAATCACAATCGTGAAGCAGGAGGAGGTGAATAACATCGGAGTAGGTGGTTACCGCTTCAGCTACGAGCAGAGCGACGGCCAGAAGAGAGAGGAGACGGCCGAGCTGAAGAACGAGGGGACCGACAACGAGGCGATGAGCGTCGTCGGTAGCTTCAGCTTTATCGCGCCGGACGGCCACACGTACAGGTACGTCGGGTCACAACCGTGAAAAAAGGTCATTAGGCTGGATCCACGATAGATCTATGCCTGTTGCTCTAAGTGGCAAGCTGTAACGTAACATCTAGCAAAAAGCGTCTTCAGCGTTACCAGACGTCGCAATTCCCACATCGAGTGGAAAGTCTGAGAAATTAAAAATTATGTTTATCTGGTGGGTACTAATAACATATTTAACCTTCGAAGGGTGTCCTAAAGACGTCCAGAGGATATCTTACGTCCTATGGACGTCCCCAAGACATCCTTCGGATGAAGTGTGCTGTATTTAAATAAAAGAATTTAGATTTCAGCAAACATATTACTAAATCTATCAGTATTCAACAAATATAAATATTGTCTTATTTTCTAGACATCTTTCCTCTCGACATAAGATTTGCTACGGATTTTGGCGATGAGGCAAACGCCTTTTGTGTCAGAAATTACGTTACATTCTATTACTCAGAGCGAAAAACTTATTACTGCAAATCCGGGGGTAGACGTACGCATTTGCGAAGTAACTGGCCGGCGAACGAGGCGAAAGTTCAAAGGATCGTCTTCCACGCGCGTCCTTTGACTTTCTCCGTGGCTTCGTTCGCGGCACTTCGACCGGGCTCCGTTCGGAGTCGATCTTCAATATCGTCGATTCTCGATTGCAGGGTCGATTACACCGCGGACGAGACCGGATTCCACCCTAGCATCAATCTCGTCGCGAAGTAACGAACGCTTGAGGACTGAAGTTACGTTACCTAGGACTCTGCGGTCGTCGGCACACACACATGCACGTACATACATACATACACGCAACACATATAATAACACACGCGCATTAGGATTTACTTTATACCAGTATACCGCGAGGCACGCGATATTTCAACGGCGCGAACCGTCGTCGCGAAGACGTCGCCGCCGATCGCCGGAGAACGATCGATCCTACGATCCTACGCGGACCGACTCGTCTCTCTCTCTTTCTCTCGGCGAGCGAACTCTCTTCGAAATCGTCTCGGAATTTCGCGAAGTTCGCCGATTTGCACCTCGCGATCGTCCCCGCCGCGAAATCGAGAGCGGCTCCTCCTCCGCCGCCTCCTCCGCCTCGGAATGCGACGCGGAGCGGTGCATCGGAGCGCAAACGTAAATATGACGATATCGCGGTGTCGAATTTGACAAAACGGCGGGCACGAGCGAAATTGATTCGCTGAGTGCAGCTGCCCTTTGTCGACGTTCGCGTAAGGAAGCGTCCGCGAGCAAGTTGCGTCAACGTCTCCGCATTCGCGTGTTCCGAGAGTGAAACGCGTGCTCGCTCGCGGCTCGCTGACGATACGTATCACTCAGTTTCTCGAAACTGCCGGCAAACACATTGACGAACGAGAGACTTCTCACACACACACGCAAACACACACACAGGACCGTCCGTTTGCGCGCAGCTCTCTCTCTCATCTCAGCGAGGCGACGGTGCAGCGCTCATCGCAGCGCCGCGATTTTATCCGTGCCTAAAGGCGCGATCTTTTTATACACATATCTATATATGTATCTGTAACAGAACGCAGCTCGTGCAAATAAACCTGTATACATACTGAAGTCTCCGTCGTCGTTCATTGGTTAATCCTGGTTTCGTTCCTCTCCCAATGAACACCGACTAACAGTAAGATAACAACCCTATAGGCGCGTAATGTTATTTAATATTAATATTTCTGGAATATTAATAGATAGTTATATGTTCATTTCTAACATTAAAAAAAAATTATTTAATGTTATTATATTTTTTTTTTAATATTCAACTCTATGTATATATATAATATATGTATAATTGTAGTTTCTTATTTCAAATATATTGTAATATTGTTTTATTATATAAGTCGAAATAATTTTGTGTAAAAATACGTTTTATATTAAAAAATTATATATATACATGGATTTACAGAATATTTCTTATAACGTACAAACGCATGGATGAGAATAAAAATCGCATTTTACAGTACAAACGTCTCGTTTAATATGATATACAAAAAGTATAGCTATAAAAGTTATAATTAGACGCTAGGAGAGTACCAGTGAATACATATATATTAATTACGAGCTGGATCACGTATTCACACGGATCGATCCATACGGATTTTCGCAGTTCTAAACATATATGTATAAATATCTCTTGATAATTCGTAAAAACTGATCTTCTACATTTATTCTATATTTACAATCTCTTTAATCCATAATATTACTTCGAAATCGTCCCCTAATATTGAAACACGCGCGATTACCTAGTAAATATGTATGAATATTCAGGATACTGATCACGATTAAACACAACACCGCACCTAACGCGGTGTCTCACAATTACACGGGAAGTTATTTGTACTAAATACCAAATATCCTCCTCCGTTTCAATGAATTCGATTAATCACTCCTCCCTCCACCAACCACAATTTTGTGCAATTCGAAAATTATGAAGCTCTAACGTTTTATATTCAATACGCGTATACCTGTACACGTATATGAATTGTTATTTTAATAAAAAGATTTTGCGGGTAAATATTACAAAAAAACTTGTGAACTTATTATTAACATTGAATTTTTACTGTCAGCAAACAATTAAAGAACAAGATTGACGTTCGTCGATATCCGCAAATAACCCTCCTCTGTTGCAATCACCGTTACGATCAAATCAAATTAATTGCTCGTATTGTTAAAAAATTCATTATCGTCTGGAAAAGTGTTAGACGCATTTTGCCGGTGAAAATTCTATTCGAACGCATTTCGTACCTCCCCCCCCCCCTTTTTTTGTTTCTTTTCGCACACTTATTCATCATGTACGATTAAGTGAAAATAATACGTTTTAATGGCACAATTTAATCGATCGGATTTTACTCGCTAAGCATGTTAAACAAAGCATTTTTAGTCTATATTGCATTATACGGCATATATGCGTAATGTACAATCCCTAACTCAAAACGTATTATAGTGAAACGTACCTCAGTACGTTGCGCGATACACAGAAGTTCGTGTTTTTCTTATCGGGCCGCTAACTTCTGTATGGTCCCCAAGCTCTGATCAGGCTGAAAGTCTTGTTCAATTTCGACAGCCATTGCAGTCCTTCCTCTCTCGTGTCAGCTAACATAAAGTGCCTGTGCAAAGCACGCAACGTTAAAATAAACTAATATCCCGCACGTTAACGGCAGACATAAAACAACGGAAACTTACTCTAATACAGTCTCATGCCCATCGGTCTTCATAATGAGGTTATTAGCGTCGCCGGGTTGCGCGGGTCTGGCCGCCTCGAGTAGAAACGTGAAGGGACGAGCACATTTCTCTCGATTCACGAATTGTACATTCTTTGTGAATATACCTGAGCAACATCAAGGTCGATTAAGTTTTATCTTTCACCAAGTTATGTTATAAAAGTTAGTCTTTTTCCTATCAAATTAACTCAATTAAATTAAAAGTTACTTAAACCAAAACTAACTTAATTAAAAGTTAACATTAAATAATAATTTTAATATTGATAAATTATTTTAATTTATATATATTTAAAAAAAGTATTAATAAGTTCAAGTTGATGCATTTTAAATTAATTACTTTAAGTTAAAGGTTAATTCATTTGAAGTTAACAAAGTTAAAAGTTATTAACTTTTTAACTTAACTTTTAACTGAATAACCAGTTATTACCAGATTCACTGGTAACAATATATCGGCATGCCTACAAGTCAAACAATTAAATGGGAAATGAATTAAATGGTTCAAATAATGTTCACCTTCCAGATCGAGACTCCCTATCGGACTTTTCTTGTGCTCATCTTCAGGATGTAGCCAGAAGAAGAGCTTGGCGTCTCTGAGCAAGCACCACCTCCGATCCCAGGCACCGAGACCCGATATATCCTCGAACACCGTTAAGAATCCGCGATGCTCCACCGATACCGAGATTTTGTGCGACATGTGCATTCGCAGGTATCCTTCCAAGGGAGATTGCGACGAGATCTAAACGGAGACCGAGGAAGATAAATATGCGTGCGTACGAGAATTTGCACGTCACTTCTATGAATCATAATCTATTCTAGATTTTCGCGGTGTAGAGAAATATTTTATTTAGCTTGTGCTCCCTTTCGTTTCAGGTCATTTCCCTGAAATGACGAAGTGAAACGAAATGTTTGTGAAATGTCGGAAACGAGTTCGCGAGAAACGCGGCGCCGAACTCGGGAGCCGAATTAAACATGAAAATTTCAGATATATCGCGATACATACTCCGAGTAAGTTAAATTGCTTGCGATGTATGTCGTTCAGCGTGATGCTAACAGTGCCACAGAGTTGAAAGGCAGGCGATCTGACTGCTCCTGGTCCCGCTGGGCTCTGTATGCTTGGCATTACGAATTGACTCTTCTTCTTCGGGGTCTTGTTTACCGCCTACAAGTGTAGATGCAGAAATTAATGCTGCATTCTCCGCATATTTTCGACACTCTTCTCGGTTCTTATTGTTCGTGATTTTTCTGGAGAGAGAGAGAGAGAGAGAGAGAGAGAGAAAAAGATCTTACCTTCGTTCCAGTATGATTGATATGATATTTCCTCTCGTGCGGCAAATACTTCGGCTGCGTCTGCAGGGAATATACCTCGACGGCGATCCTGAAATCGCTGTACAACTCGTCAAACTTCAACGTCGACGGGAAACGAAGGCACGAGTCGTCGGGTTCAGCGGCGGTAGCCGTTTGGGTAGCGACCACTTCCCCCAAGTGTCGCATTAAACAGACACAATGTAGATACGCATCTGTAAAGATTTGCGCGTGTTTTTAGTGTTTCAGTGTACGTCTGCGTCGTAACGAAAGATGTAAATCGACTTGACTAAAGTCCCACTCACTGTTGCCCATGTTCCGGAAGAATTCCGGCTTCAATGGTAATGTGATAGCCGAAATAGTTAAAGATCCGCTCCCTTGTATCTCCGGTGAACCTGCTGCGACGGGTCTCAATGTGCCTTCCCGCTTCAGCCTTTGCACTTCATTCAACGCGGCTAGGCGTTTATGAGCTGGTACGAAATAATTTTAGTGTCAAAACCGACTTACCTCCCGTGCTCTCGTAATGCATAATATTTCGGAATTTTGCTTATTTTAATATTAAGTAAATATTTGAGTAATTTAAAGGGAACTGCAGTTGAACGAAAAATAGAATCGGAAACCTCATTTTTCAGCTCAGACAATTCTCAATCGATGTGACACGTATCACTCAAAAATAATGTATACCAAAACTTCAAATGAGTTTTTCTCAAAACTGTTTTTTTTTTCACGGTTTTGCGACAGTTCAAGAACGAACGAAGATAACGAGATACTTTTTTCTTTTAATTAAAAAGCGTTCAAAATTTTTTATAAAACTAACTAAACTCCAATGAGAAATGTTATTTACTTACAAGTTATCGCAATACAAAGCATTTTGATCGATATTCAACTTACTCGCAACGAGCAGAGCCCATTCCCCGCCGACATGCTCGCTGGAACCGTTAAACTCTACAGTAGACTGGCACAGGTTCAACGCTTTACTGGCCCCTTCGATCTTCTTCTGCTGTGTGCAAACCTCGTCCAGCAGTTCTTTCACTTTCTTCTCCACCAACATCGCCTCGTTTACACGCTGCGATCTTTCCGCGCCGGAAGGCGCGCCTGATCTCTCCGATTTCGCAGCTGGGCGTTGAGGTGTTTTGGCCAACTGAAATTACGGAAAATGCCGCTGTGGATACATTCCTATCCATTTCACATCGGACGTCAGACGTTGAGACCAACCAACTTACCTCAGATTGCTGTCGCCTGTACGCACTGACCGTTCGCATCAGCGGCACGCGACTGCCACCCTCGTCTATATACGGCTTCGTTTTATCCGTCGGTGAAATTACTTTCAAGGGCGAACGGAACCTGCAATATTAAAAGTCGCTCGCGTATGAAGATACGAAAAAGAAGATAAGAAAGAGCATAAAAGTTTTAAAACGCTGTTTGCCGGTATCTATTAAAAAACTTGGAAAAAAAAAGTTGAAAAGAAGCTAATAAAAGTGAAAACGTACGAGTGATAGTTGAAACTGCTGGACACCCGTGACGGACTCTTGCCCCTATTTACTTTCGGTGGCGTCGGACCTTCCTCTCTCACATTCACGTCAGAATCCTCCGCCTCGAGGCATTCCTCCAAGTACTGATCCATCTCGTTGAGCACCGAGAGATCTGACATAGTACTGTCTGGGTCCGGTTCAATGGACCTCTGCAATCGCAAGAAAGGCGAATAACCAACCATATCAGTGATTATCCAGCGTAACCCGAGTCCCGAGTTTCTTTCTCTAAGCTCATGTACCTTCTTGTGGGTTTTATTAAACAATGAACGTTCGTTGAATTCGTGCAAAATACTGCGCCCGAAGCTCGTGTTCGTGGGATCGTTGGTCCGCTCACTCTCGGCAGTCTCCTCATCCTGCACACACATACAGAAATGTGCACAAGGATCGAGAATATGAATGAATGACATATATAGATTTATTTACATATTTTTGTAGATCTGTACACATGACCGTTTTAAATGATCTTACTTGATCCTCGTAATCGCTCGTTGCGGTGTCGGTTTCACTTTTCTCGTCGAGAGTGGCCGTTGCAGGCTCACTTGTGTCATATGTCGATTCAGTGTCACTCTCCGTGGTGAGCTCGATGTTCTCCAAATTGGGATACAGCGATTTCGGTTTCGGTGGAGCCACGCGAATGCGCTTAACGTCGGGCACCACGTTTATGTGTTGAACCTTGGGTGGGCTTCCAACTACTGCAAAGTATATCGAAGAGAGATGAATATCTCACCGCTGCATTTGTCATATCTGAAGCTTGAGAATCGTGTTTACAGGCGCACCTACCTTGCCTTTTTACCGGGGAAGATTTAGTGATGTATGATATTATCTGAGGCTGCGGTAACGGCGGCGGTAGTGGTGGTGGTGGCACGGCAGCGTGATCCTAAATTTAACAGGTAAAATAAATCTGATCCGTTGTCGCACGACGAAAGAAAATGTAGCATCATCTCTCCGCGCATCACGCGCAATTGATCAATTACCGGAGCAGGAGTCGGTTTAACCGGGCACACGGGGGAACTCTTCGGCGAGGAAGACTTGCCGCCTCCCTCGCTGCTTTCGCTCGTGCGAATGCCGCACCTGACGGCATTGCGGGCGAACTCCCTGTTCTCGTTGAAACGCGAACGCAGCATATCCAACTCGCGCCGTCTCTCGGCCTGGGTAGCTTGTAAAATCTGATTTTCCATCTCGTCTGTCTTGTGCTTATTCTGCTCGAATATCGCACGTTGCGTGCTAACCGATTTGCCGGGAATGTCGGCGTTTCGATTGCCGGGAGATGAATCTGAAGAGATCAAGTGTCGTTAAATATCTTCTATCGAACGGATGTAAGAAATGCAGCTTGAGATAATCGAAAAATCGTGTAATAAGAGTCTCGAAAAAAATTTGTCTTATATTATTATATGGGAGAAATATTCTCCCAGAAGGGTTAAAATATGAATTTTACATCTAAGCGTGTTTAATAAAAATCACAATCGAACACAGAGATTAATTTTTAGCACGTCAAGTACTGGTCAGGATGTCTCAGCAAGGTATCAGCACTAAGAACTATACATGCCTACGTTAGGTCCCGGTTGTACACCAAGTTTGTCCTTCTCCTGCAGCTTCTTCGGCGGTATCGACATCGTGAGCGGTGCTTTCGGTATCAAAGGAGCCTCTCCCTTGTTTCGCTCAAAGAGAGCCATTCTCTCGGCGATCGTCATTTGAACGGGATCCTTCGCTTTTGCATCCGTATTCTTGGCTTCGAACATCGACGCTTTGCTCAACACTGAGCCCGATGCTTGTACCAGGTCCTTCGGCGAACCATTAAAGCCAAACCTCGGTAATCGCGAGCTGCTAGTGGTATTTGCATTTTTGACAATTTTTTCAGGAGTGTTTTTGCTGCTGTTGCTTTTGAAAGAGGAGCCACCTGGGCTCTCAGAAACACTAGTATCATCATCTGTCTTCCCTGTTTTCGATGGTCCGTCCATCTTACTGGGTGAAACTCGTTTCCTCTCCTCCTTGTTTTGCGATACATTACTTGAAACCGTGTTTGATTCCTGAGAACAATCCTTATATTCATACACGAGGCGAGTATTGCTTTTCGTACGACTAAAGCCCTGAGCCTCCTGTAAATAGTGTTTTTAACTATTCTAATAGTATATCGTTCAATCGATAGCTTTCATAGAGATGCGAAGGTACGTGACCGTGTAGAAACAGTGGGACGTTAAACAGAAATGTTAAAAAGGAATGTTAAACAGGAGAACTTTTTACATAAAAACCTATACGAAGCTTTAGTCCTTCACCCCTAAAATGAAATTTCTTTCACTGAATATAGATGTCTTACCAAGCACTCCAATATATTTTTATCCCACTTTATGTTCTTAACTGGACTTCCATTTTTGCCTTTCTTCTCATTTGCTGATTTGTTATATCCACTCGTACTCGGTTGGCACTCTAATCCGCTTTTGACTTGTTCGTTAAACTTTGCTTGTATTCTCTCAACTTTATTGTCTAATGGTTTGGTTGTCTATCAAAATTATTGTGTATTATAATTATACATAAATATTGCGTCATCACAGTCTTGTATAAGGACAGATTTAAATTATTTATACATATGTACCAATTTTGGGTGGGACAAATCATCTTCCCAACTGTTGATCGTTGAAGCTAAAGCTGCCAATTTGTCAAGTCTAGCACCTCGCCTCACCGGCTTGTTGTGCTCCGTGTCATCTTCTGCATTGAACTTTTCCTCAGTCCTGTGTATAGGGGAGCTTAACTCGTGGCAATTATCATCTGTCGAGGAAACTACATCATTAATATACGTTCAGTAAATAATACAGATTTTTTTTTACAATAACTTATTTAAAACGAAAATGCTAAATTATATATAGATAGAAATAGAAAAAGAATTGTGCACTCGCAGCAAAATTATTTTTCTTTCATGTAAGAACTATTCAGATGATCATTTTTTTGGAAAAACAGAATACAACTTTTAAGAAGTATTGAAAATACAAAGGGAAAATATAGTCGTAAATATATGCGTTTTCTGTATGAAATAATCTAGGTATACATGAGAACACGTTCATGTGTGTGTGTTCATGTGCACACTCATATGGTGTCAGAAACAAGTTCCAAGCAACCTGTGTGGGAGTAGCCTAACTGTGAATGTGTGAATCGTGTGGGAGTAAAAGCAAATAGAACGACTCAAGAATATTTGAGTTCTCATACTATCTAAGAATGTTCTCAGTAACTATTCAACGAACTTCATCAGGTTTACTTCACACGTTACTGTTATCATTGTTATCCTAAATATAGGAATTTCTTTATATTTACTTTATTGCTACACTCACATCATGCACCTTATCTACATTGTTATTTACATTGGAAATCATGCACCTTATCTACATTGTTATCTACATTGGAAATAAATATTCCATAAATCTAGAAATTCTCTTTCATCTTAGGACGCTGCTTACCAGAGTACAATTTTCCAAGTCTCTGCAGCTTGGATCTTACTTTGCAACTCTCAAAGTCTCCGTTCTCTTTGTCAACTTGTTCATAATTCTCAGATGTGTCACACTTAACTGGAGGAGACTTTCGAGGAGGTTTGACTGGAGTTTTATCTATCGTTGTTTTACTCGGTGATTTGAATGGCGATGTTTTAGTCGGGCTTACGTTTGTCGCTGCTGCAAAATATATAATCCTCTTCTTAATACAATAATTATGTATATAAGTATAACCGTGAAATAGATAAGTATGAAAATTTTATATTCAAAAAAATTATCTCTGCATAAATATCCTTAATCAAGCAGTTGATTTAAATTCTGCAAAAAGAAAAACAAGAAGAATTACCTGTAACTTGCGCCAGGATGGCATTTGCATCTTTCAAAGGACTACGCCTTACAACATCATGTCCCACACTCGACAATTGTGTGTCTAATCTCTCTCTCCTTGCTTTAGCACGTTCCAACATACGCTGTTAACATCAAAATAAAATTTATTTATTTTTACTACTGTTTATACATTTAGACACTCTTTCAATGCACCATGCCACTCAAATAGTACAGGGGAACATTTCGCAATAGCAGTGACAAGTTTTATTCATGATGCAACATCGATTGTCAAGTCCGCTCGTCCGTGTCCTTTCTTAGAAGTAACACCGAAAAATCTCTGATAATCATGACGAAATAACGAGAGACAATGATCTCAAACATGAATTCATCCTCGCAGGTACAATTCTAGCGCGCAGTACGTCGTACATATTGCTCTCCGGCGAGAAAGAGAGAGAGTATCCTGTCTTACGTAAAAGGCGAGAAAAAAGCGTATTCTTACCTGAACGAAGGGCTCCATTGTCTGCTGCATTCGTGAAGGACGCTACCTTTCTCGTAGGGGGCGAAGTCTCGCCGAGGCTCACGCAGTTTCTTCCTCGTTCACTCTCACGAGGATTCTCGAAAGGACGCACGGGGACTCTTGAAAGGACACCGAATGAATGAGAGAAACGGTGGCTCGCGTCGCAGCGCACGGGGAGTATCCTTTAACTTTGACCGTTGGATTTAAACACAGGCGCCATACTGAACGCGGAGGAATGGGGGAGGGGAGGAATGACAGTTCCCTGTTGGGCGATCTCTCGTTACGATATCCCACGCGGGCAACGAACGACGCTCGCGACGGGACGACGTCGCGACCTTTCAACTTCGTAACGCGTCCTGCCGACGACGTTTCCCGCCCCCTCTCGCGAGGCGCGCCCTGCGTCACGCGAGACGAGAATTCCTCCCAGATTCAAACTCACGACGAACACAGCGAGACGCACCAAAAGATCGATTTCGCGAAGCGTTCACACGCGCTGCTCTTTCTGCACTCGAGAAACGCGATGTACCTTTTTTGCACGGTGCGGTACTACACTATATATCGGCAGGCACGCGAGGAAAGAGAAATAAGGAAATCGAGAGGTAGGTAAGCGCAAAAAAAGAAAAAGTACAAGGAGAACGCGAACCTCTCTTCAACGAATCTCGGGGAGGGGGGCGCACTGAAATCTTTGAAATAATCGCCTGAACCGTAGTTGCGCGAAGAAAATCCACCAATCGCGAGTCCGATACGAAGAGAGATCATGGCTGCCACTCCGCGGAACGAAACGCCAAATGATCGATCGGCGTCTCGCGGATCTGATTGGACGGATTTAAAAATTCGCACCAACTGAAATCCACGATTCACCAATCGATTATTAACCGCCTCGTCTCATTGAACGTGGCTCGTAGTCTCATTTTCTTACATAAATTAAGTAATAAAAATACGACCAACGAAACTTGCACATGCCAACACTTTATGTGCGATCGACTAAGATCTTAAGTCTTTTTTATCGATAAAAATACTTTAAATATGGTTTCTAAGACACTTTTGTAGAGACATTTTTATCAACAAAAGAGAGTTCAAAATGTGGGCCTAAGTGAATAATTTAAAGTTTCCATCGACTACCATAAATTGCAACATTATTCATCAGGTGCAATGCAGCACATTAAAACGTTGTTTCACGTTTAAAATGTTTAAGAACATTTCAAAATTTGTCGACGCGAAATCATCATGATTTTTTCTAACCGATCGTACTAAAAGATTTTTAGAGAAAAATGGCAAAGAAAATAAGTAATATATGTAGTAAAATAAATACACATACCACAATTTTGAAGCGTCAATCCCTGAAGAAACTGTGTGCGATGCAGCGAGCATGGCAGAGAAAACAACAATGTAGAATTCCAGCGTAAACTCCGCTACCTAACTCAACTCGACTACCCCTTCCTCTACTGTTTAAAATGGCCGACATCTTGCGGAGAAATGTTGTACTAATGTATGAATATTTGAAAATTTAAATTTTCTACTGGCTTTTGTACACTGCAATGTCACGAATTGTATGCAATAAATGATGATAAGTTATATTATTCTCATGCTAAACAAATATAACGTTGTTTCTTCTCATCTAATAATTGGTAATCCATTTATATAATGATATTTACCATTTTACTACTTTAACCTCATTCTCTTTCTTTCTTTCTGCCGTACAACGTTCAATTCGAGATAGAGATATAATGTAACGGCTGAATCATCTTGAATTTCCTGTAGCTTCATTGATTACGCTATCAATTACAAAAACATATACAAAAGAATGAAATGTATATGTTGTGTAAGTGAATCTCTCTCTTCCTCTCGATCGATTTACTTCAGTATGATTTTAATAGTCAAGCACACCACGCAAAATAAATTTGAAAAATATGGATCATTTCAAAACGGGCAATGCGCTATCGAATTATTGTGTGCGTATATTTGCGTGTGTATAATAAAAAGATGCTGAAATAAATGTAAAATATAAATATATAATTCTGTGCAAAAGTTATAAATACATATCGCTTTACATAGTCACGTACATCACAAACTTACATCTCTACTTACATCACCAACTTACATGCTATAAATCTCAGAAAAATTGTACTGTCTATAAAAACGTATCGTATTAAATACAAATGTGTTGTACTTAATGTGTTAAAATACTAACATTGCATAAACACGATAAAATTACCTATCCCGGTGGAATAACTATTTCGTGTTTTGGAATGGTGATTCGTCATACATGTGACGATTCATCTCCGGTATCGGCCGCCATCGCCTCACGATTCTCGTACGCCCAGAAGCCATGGAACTCGATTAAAATGCTGACCATTGTGTCCCCTTGTCCGCTGCGTTAAAAAAATCAGATTATATTGCCTTGAGAACAGTTTTATGAACTTACGTAATATCATATAATCTGTATGATCTGCAAATAATCTTACCAAGACAGTAAGTCCTGCAGAGTAATTTTGCACGGATCCGCCGGCTTCACCATATCGAATATCTCGTCTTTAACGTCTTCGAAACTAACAGGCTCCTGACCATGCATCGTCATCTGTTCTTGTATAGCTCTGAAGAAATAATTGAGACAGAAAGTGTCCAGGTAGCCGCGATTATTGATGTCCAGAATCCGGAACAGGTAGTGAAGGCTTTGAGGCTCGTGCCGATTCTCCAACGCCAGGACAAAATCTAAATAAGTTTTGTAGTCCATCTCACCTTCGTAAGTAAGGCATTCTTGAAACACTCTTTCGAGAAAGACGCCAGTCAGAGTGCCGGTACCGTACCTGTTGGCACGAAAGAATATTCCCTTAGAAATTTATACATTCAGAATACCGTAGCAGTAAAGTTCTTGAAAAATCAAGCGGTGAAAAAGTTCCTGCGACACTTTTTACTCCAAACATGCAATACATTTGAAGATCAAGCAAATCAATTTTACCCAGCGAGCTCTTCTTTGTTCAACATTCCATTGTGATCTCGATCGAGATTGAGGTATTGGCCGTATACTTTGAGAGCCGAGGGCGCGGAGAACCAGTTTGCCTCCTGCAAGTCCTTGGGCAAGTCCTCATCGCGCAACTCCAGGAGATCGTCCAGGAAACTACACGCTAAGATGTCTTGAATGCGAACACGCCCGGTTCGGAGAGGATCCAGGAAAAAGAGAAACTTCCTAACAGCAGTGCAGACGTAAAAGGAGTGAAAGGACTTCTCGAGACCCTCGAGTTGTGGCAGTGTCGGTATCAGTTCCAAGATATAGTTTTCTAGATCCTGTAAACATGTCCGTGTAATTCTCAAATAGAAGCCCCGATGGAAATATTTTATTGAAAATATAATAAAAACATATCTGCAAATCTCTCTCAATTGATCTCACTTCATTATCTCATTATATCAATATTTCAGTTAAAAAATTACTTAATATTTCAGCAATTTTTCTTCTAAAAAATTACTCACTGATTCTCTGAGATATCCTTGTCCAGTAACGTCGTATAAGGACAAACCAATTCTGGTCTGATGTAACCACACTTTCCTCATCACATAGTTGAACAATGCCATAATACTAATTCTACCATGCGGATCTCCCTGTTGTAACTTGGCAAACACGACCGCGGTAAAGTACGGACTACACTTGGCTCCCGCCAGTTTGCCAACTTTCTTGAAATCCTCATAATTGATTAACTGTTCGTCCCCTGACAAGGGTGGGCTGTGATGTTTGTCCAACAAAACCCACAGCGCCTTCAGTTCGTTATTGTCGAGCAATTGGCGGGAGCGCCTTTGCAGGAACAAAGCGCGCGTCTCCTCGCGCAACTTCTGCGGCAGAACCTCATCTTCTTTCGGTAACTGAAACGTGAGATCAACATCGATCTGTTGCAATCTAACTCATAAGAATGGGTAGAAATTTCTCAGGATGTCGCAGTATAGTTTCAACGCGCGAAATACACAACAGGTGAGATACCTTGAAATAAAACTTCGGTATGACTTTGTACGTGGAGTCGTTGTCCTTGGCTTTCACACCTTTCCACTGTTCGTACATTTTCTGAAAGTACGTGTCCTCTCTCCTCTCGTTCTCCGCAGAGTTTTCATCCACTGCAGCAGCAGGACGCGACATATACACGAAGGCTTTACAAGCATACAGCAGAGAGGAGGGCTAGTGTGGGAGACAGCGTTTCTTTCGTCACAACATGTGCGCGTACTTACATTTATTCGCCGAGGCGCAGTTCCGCAGCAGCGCCTTGAACTCCATGTCTCGCGGCATTCGCCGTACGCACCGGATCGCTACGATCCAGGTGCGTTGCCTTGGTTAGGATCGATCGGAACTAGCAGCCGAAGGATTATTAATCGCGATAGGATTATCAATCCGAGACGTCGGACCGCCGACGATCGTCGTGCGACAACCTCTTCCCCGGGTCTCCACGGCCGAGCACTAGCCTGATACGGCCGGGAAATTAAATTCGCGCCCGTTTCAGGTTATGTCCGAAAATTCACTGTCAACGCTGAGCACTGGCAGTGAATATTCGTGCTCTGTTCTTCATAGCTGCACTGCTGAACTGGTAAGTTGAAGCGAGAGACAAGCGCGTGCTTTCTCACTTCAACTTATCGCACCGGTTGAGCAGCGCGGCTGTAAAGAACGGGCCAATTGGAACGCGGCCTTGATTCCACGCGCGATACCAGCTCAGGCGGTATAGGTTAGGTGCACGGAGAGATATCGCGACGCGATGCTCGTGGGCGACGACAGGGTTGTTTTGAGTACGTGGCCGTTTCAGGGCTCGTGAGAGGAGCTTCGCTCCCGAGGACGACCGAGCGACGAGCGATGCGCGACGGCGGTGGCGACAGCAGAACCAGGTGCCGCGCAGCGAAGCGACGACGTTGATCCACCGACGATGATCCTGTTCCGAGCCGGCTCGATCCTGGGCCTCCTGATTCTGGTGAGCGGCTTCCGAGAGTACGAGAGGAGAGACCTGCTCGCGCTGCGCGAGGAGGTGCGCACCATGTTCGATTACGCGTACTCGAGCTACCTGACCTACGCCTACCCGTACGACGAGCTGCGTTCGCTCAGCTGCGACGGCTTCGACACCTGGGGCAGCTTCTCCCTCACTCTGATCGACGCCCTCGACACGCTCGCGGTGATGGGCAACTTCACCGAGTTCCGGCGCGTCGCCGAGATAATAAGCGCGCGTGCCAACTTCGAGGCCAACATCAACGTCTCCGTGTTCGAGACGAACATCCGGGTGGTGGGCGGATTGCTAAGCGCCCACCTGCTCTCGCGCAAGGCCGGCGTCAAGCTGGAACCGGGCTGGCCCTGCAACGGTCCTCTGCTGCGTCTCGCCGAGGACATGGCCAAGAGGTTGATCGCCGCGTTCGACACGCCCACCGGCATGCCGTACGGCACGGTGAACCTCAAGTACGGGGTGCCCGAGGGCGAGACTAGCATCACCTGCACCGCCGGCATCGGCACCTTCCTCCTGGAGTTTGGCACTCTCTCCAGACTGACCGGCGATCCGCTCTACGAGGAGGTCGCCATGAACGCGATAAAGGCGCTGCACTACTACAAATCCAACATCGGCCTGGTCGGCAATCACATAGACGTGTTGACCGGCCACTGGACCGCTCAGGACTCCGGCATCGGCGCCGGGATCGACTCGTACTTCGAGTACCTGGCGAAGGGCACCTTGCTGTTCCAGGACCCCTTGCTGGCCTCGATATTTCAGGAGCACAGGAATGCCATAGAGAAATACATCCGCCGGGAGGACTGGCACCTCTGGGTCTCCATGACCAAGGGCCAGGTGACCCTGCCGGTCTTCCAGTCCCTGGACGCCTATTGGCCCGGTGTGCTCAGCCTGTTCGGCGAGATCGGCGACGCGATGAAGTCGCTGCACAATTATCACCGCGTGTGGAAGCAGTTCGGCTTCACCCCGGAGTTCTACAACATACCGCAGGCCGAGGCGGGGACCAACAGAGAGGGCTATCCCCTGCGCCCGGAGCTGATCGAGTCCGTGATGTATCTTTACAGAGCCACCAAGGATCCCTACCTGATCCAGGTGGGCGTCGACATACTGAGGAGCCTGCAGCACAGCGCCCGGACCGCCTGCGGCTACGCGACCATCAACGACGTACGGGACCACCGCAAGGCCGACCGGATGGAGTCCTTCTTCCTCGCGGAGACCACCAAGTACCTCTACCTCCTCTTCGACACCGACAACTTCATCCACAACACCGGCTCCGAGGGGGAGATCATCGACACGCAGTGGGGCCAGTGTGTGGTCGACGCTGGCGGGTACATCTTCAACACCGAGGCCCACCCGATCGATCCCGGCGCCTTGTACTGCTGCCGGCCGGCCCAGGAGATCTTCCCGGACAAGAAGCCGACGCTCAAGAGGTTCCTGCCCGTGCACCAGCCGTCGTACAGCGACGTCTTCGCCTCGAGCGATCATCATCACGAGGACAAAGTCAACAGCCTCGGGCTCTCGCCGATCACGATCGCCAAGCTGTCCGAGATCAGGTATTACCCGGCGAGCAAGCGAGAGGAAGCTCTCAACGAGAGCTCCTCGGCGAACAACTCCTCGGGGACGACAGCGGCCGAGGAGGTAGCGGGAGCCGACGGGTCGAATCGCAGCGCCGACGTTCAACTGCCCACGGCGATGCAGATCCTCGCTCCCTCGACGATCTACAAAGCCGACGACAGCGAGCCGGTATCCGACGGCCTGGAGCCGCCCCTCCCGGCCAACGGACAGTACGGTAACCTGCTGAACGCGACGCCGAGCCCCCCCAAGAGCAGATTCGAGCCGCAGATACTGCTGGAGAACATCCGGCGCGGCAACCTCTACCCGACCAACGTCACGGCGAGGCAGAACTACCAGACCCTCTCCTGCCAGGCTCAACCATTCCTGCAACGAATATCGATTATAGGGGAATTTTTCTAAGCGACGGCATCCCGATGGTGCTGTGCACTACCGCGAGGAATCTGTTCTCCGGATCTCTCGTTTCCTTTCTCCGCATCGCGGCGCCCCTCCGGTTCTTTCCTCAGCTGAACTGCCCGCAGCACCGGTTCGAGTAGTTTAAGGACACATCGAGGTATACGAAGCGTTTGCACGAGATCCTCACGTCTCAGTGTGCCGATAAAACGTTCATAGGCGACTCGTACGGCAGGAATGTTCGAAGGATATCCTTGAGACGTCCAAGAGATCGTGTTCAAGTGTTTCTGGACTTCTCTAGAATGTCGCTTGAACATTTGTACTGTGTAGGAATGTTTCCAATTTCTTCCCCCACTCGATTTTGTATCCAATTCTGATATCGGATTGAGGTATTTGTCACGTGCTGATTAGAAATATCAGGTCTTAAGGTATAGCAATTTGCCGTTTCAAAGAAAGCTTCAAGGATTTCAGTCCTGACAGATGGCAATTAAACGTGTCCCTGTGATTGAAACGTTAATAATATATGTGTGTTTATTAAGATGCTTATCAATAAACGTAATAAAATCACAAACTAACTAAACGTTTTTCTTTTTTCGTCTATTATATTATTTCATATGTTGAAAAGCATCTTAATAAAGAAAAAGACAGGAATAATATGTCGGGATTGAATCTTTCGGAGCCCATTTTCTCTGCAACATTAATTGGCTACATTTTAAGATGTACATATTTGTAATCAGATCGACGAGTACTTTAAAAAGATACAAAAATTGGGTACAAAATCGAGCGGGTAAAAATGGGGAACATCTTGGCAAAACTTTTTCCTCAACTAACACAGCCAGTTCAACTAAAAATGGCAGACCGTAAATTTCGCAGAGCCCCCTTTTGCGCGGGTTACGTTTGTACTTTAGGATATATTCCTGTGATAATAGTTGCTGTATAACTTTTAATAAACATAGGGTCTGTAAATAATGTACATGAGTCGCGTTATACAATACATGTGAGAGTATTTTAAAAATGGTGGTGTTGCTGTGTGAATATTTGTATTCATTTTGTACCGTGTCATCCTCCATGCTAAACGTGCACGTGGACGTTCAACGTTAGGTCCCTTCCTAGCGCCGTGATTGGTCGTGGCAGTCCGTTCCGCAAATCCCGTTCCTCGTGTTCACCTCGCGTTTCTAGCTATACAATATGGCCGCACTTGATCTGTTCGTTTCTTTATGCTCGATCATGAGCGTTCTTAACTCGTTACACGTCGCGAACGAGACGCGTGTAAATAATGTAAATATCGTAAAATTAATAGACGTTTGATTGAATTCGCTCGAAATTTTCTTAGTCGCTCCAAATTTGCTGGCTCTTCATCATGGCTGATAAGAGACAGCAGAGCTTGTCAGTGAGTACAAAGAATTTTGTATTCATATTAATTTATATTAATTGTATATTAGCTCGTAAATTACACTACGATAGTATCGTAATATGTAAAAATGATAATTGTTCAAATTTGTTCGCATGAATGTTGTAAAAATTTCTAAGTCTAAAGTGAACCTAACCTCTTTGTCGTAAATAATGCTAAGTGATGTTAAGAATGAATTCCCACGTTACCCAGAAAGAGGAAATAGCGAAGCAGTTTATGCTGCCGGAGAGGAAGAGCAAAATCGCGACGTTATTGAAACAGGACGGCCAAGCATATTGCATTTGTAGGAGCTCCGATAGTTCCCGTTTTATGATGTGAGTCAACTCTGAAATACTCCAATTTGAAAACTTCATTTGATGTTAAGATGAATGTCCCATTTAGTGACAAAATTACTTCATCGTGAAAATAAATAAATTATAATAATTCAAGTATTAAATATATAACATTTATTTTGTTTGTTCCAAAATTTATTTGTTCCAAAAGTTAAACATTTGGGATTACAGTTGTGTCGGATATTTTCAAAGTTATGACAAAATCTTAAACAATGTGTTCTCAGAAGTGATGGAAGAAGTCCATTATTTAGTGATATTGTGATAAAAATATATTCTTTAGGATAAATATGGAGCTATGTTATTTGACTCGTTAAAAAGACCAGATATAATTGTCACAAGTTAGAGCACTATCACTAATTTGGACATTTATCTTATATATTAGTATTCTGAACATGTGCATTCTGCTGTATCCTAAGGATAAAATGCAAGTTCTGTATTTTAAATGATTTCAGAGGCTGTGATGCGTGCGAAGAGTGGTATCATGGTGACTGCATAAACATAACTGAGAAAGATGCCAAACATATTAAACAATTCTTTTGCGTCGTAAGTGAATGTTCTTTGAAGAATATATTTCCCACAAAAAAAGAAAAAAAACGACAAGAATTAATTTTGACAAATTGTTGATGGCAGCGTTGCAGGGAAGAAGATCCAACCTTAATAACACGGTACAAACCGCGCAGGACAGATCAAGAGGACAGGAAACACAAGAAGTACAAAGAGAAGGAGAGAGGACATCGGTACGAATACGATGCGCCTTGGGACCCGACCGTGGAGAAGAAATCTTCGAAGCGTTGCGGCGAGTGTACGGGATGTCAGCGTACGGAGAATTGTGGGAAGTGCGACGCCTGCAGGTGTGAATCCTCGTCAACGAAATCTGCTCATTTTTTATAGGGCTTTCCCATGCCACATTACTCGACCCTCAAACGCTTTTGTTGTGGTATCCCATTAACTGGCCTTCTTTGCACATGCCCGATCCTTGAAATTCCCTTATTTGAATAAGGGTCGTAATTATGGATCATTATGAGTAGTATAATTCTTCATTTCTAAAAATCTCTTCAATTCTAAAACATTTGCCGGTACGATTTTACTCAGGACCGCGTTCAAAGTCTCACACTTACGTTTCAGACATCTGAAGAAGTTCGGGCCCTCCGTGCGACTGAAGCTCCGATGCATTCAGAGGACCTGCCGCATAATGGGGGATCCGCTGAAGCCGTCGAAGTGTCTCAACAAAGGTGCGAAATTCATCAAGAAGCGGAAGAGGGACTCGAGTAACGAGAGAAACGAGTACCTGGAGCCGCCGCGCCACTGCTACGGGCCGGCGTGCACGAAGCAGTCACGGCCCGGCAGCAAGTACTGTTCCGACGACTGCGGCATGAAGCTAGCTACCAGCAGGATTTACCAGGTACTGCCGCAACGGCTGCAGGAATGGTCGCTGACCGCGTGCATCGCGGAGCAGAACAACCGGCGCGCACTGGAGAACGTGAGGAAGCAGCAGCACGACGTTCGCAGGATACTGCAGGAACTGGACAAGCGACACGTCGAATTGGACCGCATCATCGAGCGCGCGAAACACGCGAGCATCGACCCGCACGCCGAGGTGGACGACAACGACGACACGGAGATGAGCATGTACTGCATCACGTGCGGCCACGAGATCCACTCGAGGACCGCTATCAAGCACATGGAGAAGTGTTTCAACAAGGTATCGCGTCAAACCACGCACTCACGTGCGACAATTACACCGGTCGACATTATTTCGCTCCAACAGCGAATGATTAACCTAAGGACGAATTCATACGCGGCTGGGATATCTTCTATCCCAGCAACAATATTATTTCTGCTCTAATCACGAATAATTTGTTAATTCGGTGATGCCGGTGAACTGAATTTTATCGCTGTCGCAACGAATATACAGTTAATAATTATACAGTGGACATTCGTCCCCGGGATATCCCGCCGTGTCCATTAAAATCGGCCGCACAGTACATCGCGCGAAAATATCCCGTCAATGTGCACCCTTCAATTAACTCGTGTGTTATCTTGCAGTACGAGTCGCAAGCGTCCTTCGGCTCGATCTTCAAGACGCGCATCGAGGGCCAGGTGATGTTCTGCGACTTCTACAACCCCGTGAACAGGACCTACTGCAAGAGGTTGCGCGTACTCTGCCCGGAGCACTGCAAAGACCCGAAGATCGGCGACAGCGAGGTGTGCGGCTGCCCGTTGGTCACGAACGTGTTCGACGCCACCGGCGAGTTCTGCCGGGCGCCCAAGAAGAGTTGCGTCAGGCACTACATGTGGGAGAAGTTGCGCCGGGCGGAGATCGACATGGAAAGAGTGAGGCAGTGGCTGAAGATCGACGAGCTCGTCGAGCAGGAGAGGCAGATCCGATCGAACATGGCGACGCGTGCCGGCGTGTTGGCCCTCATGCTGCACTCCACTTACAATCACGAGCTGATGGAGCAGATGACGCAGGAGCAGAACAGAGAGCAGTTGGAGGCGATGGAGAAGGAGTTGCAGAGGAGATACATTTTGCATCAGAAAGAGCAAAACGTGGAGCAGTGATTATTCGCGAACGGTCCTCCTCCTCATCCCGTTTAATATCCCGTCGTCATTCGTCGTCGCCGTTGTATCTTCGATTCTCCCTTCTTAGCCGTATTTTTCTTAATATCTTCGCTCTCTCCAAAGGCTGCATGTATGTATATTTATTATATAACACGTCTTACTGCGACACGATCGGTAGAGCGTGTCCAACAGTTGTCGGTATAGTGATCAATATTGATAATTCGCGACGAAGTCGAAGGTTTACGAAAGTCGATCGATGATTGCGAATGTATAGTGTAATATAACGTGTGTGTACCTGTGTTAGTACAACTGCGCGTGCGAAATTAAAATAATTTTTAAAAAATTATATGTATATATATAGTACTTTCGAGCCACCACTTGTATCTGCCATTTTTCAATAAACTTGCATCGGACACGTCACTATGTGTCTCTTTTGGGTTTTCACGCCCACACCTTCGAGAGGAAAACGTCCATCCGTGGGAAAGAAATGCGAAATGTCTTAGCATATCTACGGGTCTCCTCGAATCAATTATACTTCTACGTGGTTAAACGTTGTGTTAATTCTTAGTAATTAAGATAAAGTAGCTTTTTCCCCGCGAGTAGTAGTGCAACAAATGGAGATGATGCGGGGTTCTTCGTGTGTCTCTCTCTCTCTCTCTTTCTCTCTCACATATTCCGGTCTAATATCTCGTGGTATTATTTACATTTCGTGTATATGTGGAGACGCGAGCGTCAGGATTTCACACACACACATACTCCGACAGTTGATCGTTTCAACAAAAACCATTTATTCACAGGTCATAGCCTCTGCGGATGCAAAATAACACGCCAAACTAGCGATCTATCGGTTTAGCTTCGGAAAATAATCGCGCGAAGCGCATAATATGGACATTGATCTTCCCCTCGGGAGAACCGCCTGTTTCGAATCGTTTCCTTAAATGCGCCGATAAACGCAACACACTCCACCGATTCCGCTGTCGTCTCTCGACGCAGTAATTAAGATTACCCGCTAATTATTATAGAAATATAGTAATTCTGGAAGTGCTTTTTTTTTCTTTTCACGTAAAATATTGAAGAGGCAATAATGATAAGGTTGCCGTCTCTCTCTTATCTATAGAGAATATTAATCGAGATACTCCCAAACGATTTCAGAAAGACGCTGATAAATAACTCTCACTCTCTCTCTCTCTCTCTCTCTTTCTCTCTCTCTATTTTTCTTTTACTCACAGTATATATACGTAACAAAAACACAGTAATAAACATATACTATATTACATGTGTGTATACATATGTATATATACTCTATATTACATATAATATATGTTTATTACGCATACATATCTGCGTCTTAAACATTAGGAACGAATCTGTCAATGCAATGGCAGTACGAAGCTAATGCGACATGCGTACAAATTATTCGATTATGCGACACAAGAGAAATACGGATTGATGAATTAATGACCGGCGTAAGGTGTTTGTACGACATAGGATTACGACATTGCCTATCAGGATATCATATCATTACGATCAGTGCTGTTGCGCGTAACAAAATCATGCGAGTGATCGTGCTCGGTGGAAGCAGGAGGAAGAAAAAAAAGAAAGTGCAGGATAGGCCACGCGGATGAATCCCCTCGAATAATGCGCCGCGCGGAATTCGACGAGCGCGTATTTATATCAGAAACGAATGAGATGCGATTTCCATGTCGATATGACTCTCTCTCTCTCTCTCTCGCTTTAAGGTTCCGATTAAAAACAGACGACTCACCCGGAATAAACCGTGTGCCTGTCTCTCTCACATGCGCGCATGTACATGTGTGTGTGTATGTGTGTGTGCACGCGCACTTTAAGGAAAAAGGATGAAATAAAGCGACTCATTTTTATCACAGTATTGCACGCAAAGCATGTACGAAATCGCAAGTAAGATAGCTTAAAGGCCAAACGGCGACGACACTACACGCTCTCGTTTTCAGAAATACATCGGGAGAGGCTGAATTCTTTTCTGTCCCGTTAGAAGTAGCGAAATGTTTATCTTTTATCTTCCTCCTCATCTTTTTCCTCTCTCTCTCTCTCTCTCTCTTTCTCTCTCTCTCTCTCTCTCTCTCTCTCACTCACTCACTCACACACTCACTCACTCACTCACTCACTCATTCACTCACTCACTCACTCGCCTTTCCTCTCCCTCTCTTGCTCTCTATTATGCTCACTCATACACCTTGGCATATTCTTTTTACATTCCATGGCAATGACTCCAAATGATCCTTTATAACACCCATGGTCCATGATAGCTTCGCACGTATATCTCTGACATTATCGTTAGTAACAAAATAAGCGATGGCCATTGTGTATGTGTGTGTATGGTTGTATGTATATGGTGTTTATGTATGTGTGCGTGTGTGTATGTGTGAATACATCACCTGAGAATAAATCGTGATATATGTCGGCTTCCCTTATTAACTTTTTTCTGGTTTCTTTTTCCGCTTTTTTTTTTTTGACATACAATTTGCCCTCTCGCACGGTATATAATCGACGATGTCGTAACGAGTCGTCGATGTTACGGTTGTTACAAAAGGACATAGTATAGAAGCAACATCCGACGTGTTTACTGCTTTGTTTGAGTTGACGCAAACTGCGGATAATCCCGATTTCACGACGAATGATAATAAGCTCGGCGAAAATATCTGTGAAAATTTAAAAAGATCAACAAGTAGTTCTGCTAAAGCACTTATAGAAAAATGCTCTTTATATACATATTTGTGTGTAAGTATGTATGTGTGTGTACGAATTTGTATGAAATTTCGATTTTATGTCCTTTTTCAAAAAAGACAAAAACTCTCTCACCTTTTGTATATGACTGGTAAATGGTTTAAGATAAATAAGTAGATAGTACATAAACGAAATTCTTCAGAAATGATATTTTTACACTGGAATTTGAGAATCTAAAGTCATTCCACGAAGAAATGAGAGTTAAAAATCTCCGAATTTAAAATTTCAAAAATAAAAACACTGATTTAACAAAATTAATTGGATAAGAACAAAATTAAATAATTTCGCGCCAAGTTTCAACAGTGACTTTTAAACGTGTGATTATCTCGATATACAATATATATTTATCCTTCATCAAGATGAGCAAACAATATTATCACGCGGTCTCCATCCACCATCCTGACAACTTTGTCGCGTCAAAACACGGCTCGAAATCAAAACAGACATCGGATGTTACTTTTTACTGTATCTCATATTCGCAAGAGGGAACTTTGGCAACAAACACATTCGCATTATAATGTTTTTTTTGCAGCTGGACAGCACAGCCTTTCACGCTCACGCAGAGTAGCTTCGATATACAACAATCGCTCGTGACAGTTCTCTTTATCTCGCTTACCGTCTCTCTTTTTCTCTCTCTCTCTCTTTCTCTCACTAATGTGTAATAGTGATATTAATAATAATATAATAATAATAATTTTAATCGGATAATTTCGTCGTAGCGTTGGTAATAATAATATGGTTAGAGTTATATCATACAATATATACTGTATGTACAATATATACGGGAAAAAACCGTTACGTATCGAGTTTAACAAATTGTACAGCATTATGAGACTAACATCGAGATCGTCGAAACATTTCCTTCGATCGTCATTCAACTTTCGTTCCTCATTTCTGTGCTTGCTTTGCAGGTAGTTACGATAACCGGCTGTACTTTAGTGTCAGACGAACATCGACGGACGTGGAAACATTTTGGACTTAGGGGATTTTCTCTCGTTCTTGTAACGATACATTTCTACATACAAGCGAACGATACTCGATTAGCCGACGCTCAAAGCAACGATGTGAGATACACACACACACACACACACACACAAACGAGACAGAGGTAAGGCAGACGTTCTCATGTACGCAGATAAAACGGAAACGACTGTATGTGTTAAACTGGAAATCTCGTAACATATAACAATATGTAACATACGATAATAGTAATGATAAAATAATCTTACAGTAGAGATATCACGTAAAACAATCGTTAACTTTTCAAAGTCAGTTTCACAAGCTAGCGGATTAGCGTTTTCGTGTCGCTTCTGTGCATTCGTTGAATTCTCTCACTCTCTCGAACGTACCGGAAACTCGGGAATCAAACCAACGCGATCCGAGTGACACTTTTACTAATCATGAAAATGTGAGTTCTCCGTTTTATAGCGCGTTGCACATCACAAAATGTAAATAAACGGATGATGCGAAGAGAGAGAACGATATGAAAGAAAATAAACATATATATTTATTCTTCTCATAAACGCTTATATAAACGAAAACAATGTGGGACCGCCATTGGTTTTTATATATATATATATATATATATCTATATGTATGTGTGTAACGTATACATATATATGTATATATATATATATATATATATATATATGTGTGTATAACGTAGTCTCGCTTCTTTTCTTTCCTTTCTTTCTTGTCGTTTTCACCGTCGTTTCTCAGAGTTGCGTCTCATCAAAGGATCCTCGTGCGCGCGCAAATCGGAGAAACAAGTGTCCTGTGGGCTGATCCTCCAGCAAAAAGTATCCGCGCAATGTTTCCCACTGTCCATCGAATGACATCGTTAAGTAGTTATGTATATTCCGCATGTGGTTCACACAGGTTAACGTAGCTGCCCTCCCCGCACTCGTTATATACACTGTTAATGGTCCTATCTCTTGCTCTATCTCCTTGCGTCTTATAACTCCCGCTTAATCTCTCTCTCTCTCTCTCTCTCTCTCTCTCTCTCTCTCTCTCGCACAAGTACATTTGCACTACTCTTCGCGAACTCCTATAACTTAGCCATTTGAACCGGTCAATGGCACAGGCTGAGACTGCAGTCTGTTACTTTAAGGCGAGCGGAGCACCTGACTGTTTTGAATAGTTCACCAGCATATCGGATTAAAATAACTCAAAAAAAAAAAAGTAATCTTCCGTTCAGAAGCAAGTCCATCGGTGATTCAATCAGTGATATACGACGTATCGCAAAAACATACTATGTCGTCATAAGTGTAATTTACATAGTCTCGTATACATGTAAAAAAGAACAAATTTAGCATTGTCGTTATGTAATTCGCGCTGTTGCGGAACGTTGTTGTGAAAGGAAAAAAAAAAAATACGCGTGCATGCGTGCATAGGAAGAGTGTAAAACGAATAAAAGAAAAGTCTTGGCCGAAAATGTAGGGAAAGTAACGCTGGTAACTTTCGGAATGCAACCTCGACGTAATCGGCTCGATTAAGCTGAAGGTGAAACTTTGCATTAGGAAAAATGGCCAGTAACTAAAAGTGTGTGCGTAATGTTCGGTGGACCATTTGGTTGCGTTCAGCGGAGAAGGTAGCTTTGCAACTATCGTAGAATTCGTGAATCCGATTGGTGTTTTCGCTCTTTAGATTCAATCAAGATTAAGGAGTACAATCCCACCAGCTTTACGAATTTTACAGCAGTTGCTGTAAAAAAAGCTGTCTTTTCCGCTAAAAGCAGCCGATGTAACACTCGACCCGTGTTCCGCGCGGAATTGCCTTAAAAAGAAAAGGGAAAAAAAAAGAAAACGAAAAAGAAATCGTTTCATGTTTTTCGTCATGTCCTATAATGGATTTCTGTCGGTAGCGATATACGATTGTACGTTTTTTTTTTCAAGTTACTCTCCGATATACGTATCCTATAATGCTTCCTTTGTATAATTAAACATCTCAATTTCCTCGCTTGTCCGAAAGCTGTACTCCCAGCTGGTTTGCTCCTACTTATTGGACAAAATAAAAAATATCAACAGAGCACGATATCCTCCCTTCTCCCCCCTTCTCACACTCTCTCTCTCTTTCTCTCTCCCTCTTCCTTCTTCTACACAATTTTGATATCTCGAAAAAAGAAAAGAAAACGATATATAACAAACTTTTTATCAATCCTAATTCATGAGTAATAATTAATTCGCGTTAATACTAAATAGACAGTACACTCTCATGCTTTCACATATATATATACATATACATATATACACATATATGTATATATGTACATATGTATATACACATATACATATATATATTATATATATGAAACTTATCCGTGATAATTTATTTTATCATTACCTATAAAGGCGATAAGTTTCTGCGTCGTTTCACTCACTCACTCACTCACCTACTTTCTCTCTTTCGTTGAACGAGACCGCTGTTCGAACATTATTCTCGTAAAGAATAACACGTTTCACAATGTGTGTGAGAACAATTATTCCAAATATAGAATATATATTTTTACATTTCTGCTTCGGTAATACGAAACAGTTATCACGAAAACGAGTTCAAACGTAACTAAAGGCTAGTTTAAACGTAAAAGAATGAACACTTAATAATATTTTAATCCGTTTCGTATTTGGAGTAACAATACGCAGACCGTCACGGCCTGAGGTCATAGAATTCATATTTCTTACGTTTAAAAGCCGTGTATTATAGTAGTTTAAAAGCGATGTTACACACGATATCTCTTAGGCTCAATTTTTAGGCATTTACAGGCATAGAGATTTTAAAAAGGTATACTTAAATATCGGTTTCTTTCTCTCCTTCCTTCTTTCCTCCTCCCCCCCCCCTCCCCCTTGTACTTCCCAGCGAGTTTAAAAGATTAACGTGGCGTGTATACTTCGCCTACAGAGAGTCGTTGAGAAACAATGTCGGTCGCGTTTCTTATTTTGTCTCCGTGTGTTGTCCTCTTCCTTTCTTTCTTTTTTTTTTACGCCTGTAAATAACGCCCCGAGAAATGCAAGACCGCGTGTTTGCGAAATTGATGGATCGACGTTCGTAAGACACATCGAGGAGAGAAAAAACGAAGAAGAACTTAGGAACTAGGAACGTATTTCGCGCGTGGAGTCCTATAAAAGTCGAGTTATATTTAATGAGCAAACGATACACATTATATCGATATAATGCACGTGGATATTATCTTTTGTGCAGAACGTCTGCGTTCAAGCGGTGATCTCGTAGAATCGCAGGCGCAGCTCGCAGACGAAATGGAAAAAAAAAACGACCGCGCTGACTGACTGTTCTTCAGATCTCACATCCACACCTGCGCGACACGTGCTCACCGCGGACGCGACATGGGTCCTTTCTTCTACGCGTCGAAAAAAACTCATACCGATAAACTGTTAATTTCCTTTCTTTTTCTCGCGAAATCATGGAATATAACAAAGAAGTAACGGACATATTGTACAGACAGTATATAACATGTATAAGCGAGGCAGTTTAAAAATGATACATACTCTGTGTGTGTGTGTATGTGTCAGTGATTCATAAGTATAATATGAAATTTGTTGATTTTTTTCGGGCTGAACAGATTCTTCCATTAATAAATGAATTACGAAAACGATTCACCAGTTCAAACATGAAGTAAACATGTTCCATCGTGCGGGCTCATACACGCGCCAAGAGAGTCACGGTAGTATTCAATATTCGTTACTTCGTGAAATGCATTGAATTTGGAATAACTTCCATTCCGAGTACAACCCTCCCCTCCCCCTCATCACTCTACGCAACAAGGTATTCGTGTGACGCATAATATTTAGTTACGATCGAACAGCGGTCTCGTTAGCATGATCACGCGAGATAGAAGAATGTCTACACGAATTACACGCATTCACGCCGTATTTTTTTTATGATCACAAGCAGGTATCTTCTTATAATTATTATTACGAATAATTATTAGTTATTTATTAAATAAGCGGGTCTGTGTAAAAATTTAACGCTTTTCGACACACTCGCACAATCCTATCTCTCTCACTTGTCGTCTTGACCAGACTTTGAGGCGGCGGCTCGTTTTCCCAAAACCCAGTTAATGACTTTGTTTTAATCTTTTTCTCCCCCCCCCCTTTTTTATTGTTGCTTTAACTAGACTCGACTGCCACAGCTGGAAGAAGTAGCCACTCTGAGAGAAGTCTCTCCTTGAAAGTTTCAACCACGCTATATCATCATCTCAGTATATTGTACACGTGTTTTCGCAATCGCGCGCATTTACATTCATCATCTCCCCGAACGCACACACACACACACATCCGCACACACGTCTTAACTTGCATTATACACTTGCGTCGAATAAAGTACATCTAGTTTCCGATATCTGTATATTTTGACTTTTGCGGTATTTGCGGCAAAGACTCGGCCGGCTGGTTTGTAATCTTCCTCCCTTTCTCTTTCTGTTTCAGTGTCTCAATGAAGTGTCCCCAGCTCATGGAGTTCGAAGAAACCCAATCCGTAAGTGTGTGTGTGTGTGTTTAGCGTTACCTCTCACAAATTTCACGGTCTCTCACGGTAAAATCATTTCATTTATTAAGCAGGTTTCCCCGACTACAGCCTAAAGATTCACGAGTCTAAAGGCACCGGGAGACACCACTGTCACAGTGCGAGGCTATAACTTCCTTCGATATACCCCCCACCCCCGCTTCACGGTAGTCCTGGTTGTATCGCGAGTTCGTGTCTCCCTCTCTCTCGTAGCTTTTTTTCGTAGCGTTTCTCCGAAGCACTTCTTCGAACTTCTCCATTCATTTTCGTCTGAAACTTCGGTACACTGATGCACGGAGGTCTCGGAGAGAATTATCCTCGAGAATTTTATCACGGATACTTAACGTATATACACGCGTGACTCGAACACTGTAAGTTTCCTCCTTCGTATCTCCAAGAGACAGGATACACAGTCTCTCTCTCTTTCTCACTCTCTCTCGCGCGGGGAAGGAAGGAAAAAAGGAAGGAAGTCTTCTTCTTCCACTATCTTCGATAGTTTTCCGGGGAACGTCGCTAATTGTCAATACTGAAATTTCTATACGATTTACCATCCGTCCAACCTTCGTGAGAAGATTTTGCGCGAGCACAATGTACAATATATGCCGGGTGTACATATTACACTTCGTCCTCCGTCTTCTTCACTGCGCTTTCTCCTTTATTTTTTCCCCCTTTTTGGTGGATTGATTATATATATGTACATCGCTATTATTATCTCTTGAGGCACACTTCTCGCGCCGTTCGGCTTCACTAATTTCGCACTGACTTAGCATACGACTCGAATGAAGCGAAACAGATGGTTCTCCGAGCGAATGGTCACTCTTGAAAAAATCCGCTCGCGCACGCACGCTCGACCAGAGGGAGCGGCAACTGCGTGCGACACAACACGCGTGGAGTTTTGCTTGTGGTTTTCGCGCGCGTTTCAGCGACAGTCGACTCGTCGAACTATCTATTTGTAATGGAAGTAGCTTTGACCAGTACAAAAGGACTCTTATTGCCTGTTATTTCGATCGTGGTGCGCCGACAACATTCACTTCACTGTCCACTGTAGAACTGTATGCGGCCGCTCGAAGTGATCGGTATCTCCCTCATCACCGCGTCCCACGCTGTAGCAACAGAGAGAAAAAACAGAAATAGCGAATTAAGTACTGCAAGAATCGTGCGGATAAATCGCTTGAGCGATCAACACTAATGGTGAATTCGATCGTTCGAACACCGCACCGGGATCGATGCATTAAAAGCCGCGTACAAAGTAGCCAATTACAACGGCACGATATCGCCGAGTCTTGACGATGAAACAATTAATACGTATATTCTGCTAAACCAACGAGATAATATCATTATTAGGAATATTTGATCGTTCAAAATGCGCATCTGCCTTTTTTTATTTGATCAACTGTTTCACACGTGTGCAACAGCCTTCAGCATCGATCCGGGGTAGTGCGGGTGCTGAAATTCACTACTAGACTGCCGCGTCACCTATATATTGGTGACGGTTTTAATATAATCGAAATATGAATAATTTATAGAGGTATAAATAAAAATTTATACGAGTATTTATAGATAGAGAACTATTTGTAGAGACATTATGTGTGAAAATAATAAAATATCATTTCTACAATATATACCTATGTGTAAAAAACGAAATTATCATTACATAATTATTATAAAATGATCAAACTTCTATGTTTATGCATTAATTTATATTATCATTTTTCGTGATACTTTGGAAAACAATCCGTATTTATAATTATGGTTGTTATTATTTGCAGAACTTCCACATTATCATCAGTATTAAGCCTGAATCCCCAAGTTGGCCGGAAAATGAAAGAAAGCCGAGTGTCAAAAGCGCGGTGGTCGGTACTAAGACGACATCCAAGATCGCATCTCACCTAAGCCGACGAACGTCACGATCTTATCGTGGTTGTACGTCTGCACGTTGAGCTCCTCCTCCGGCGCTACGTAGAGCATGGAGAAGTCCTCCTTCGGCTGATGAAACTTCTCCACGATTCCGGGCGGCGGCGGCGGCGGCGGCGGCAGATACGTGGGCGGCGGGAACCTCGTGGGATAGCTCATGTACGCGGGCAACGGCTGCACCATGACCGGATGGACCGGCGGCGGCGGTGGCGGCGTGACGACGTGCGCATTCGACGACGGCTGCTGCTGCATGTGATAATTGGCCGCAAACTTGTCGTATCTCACGGGTTTCTCGAACACAGCGGCCGGCGGCGGGCTCCTCTCCGCGAAGCTGGCCGGCGGTTTGTTGACGAGCGGCGGCGGCGGCACGGCGGCCGTGAACACTGGGCTCGAGGTCTCCTCGTTGTTGGAGTCCTCCGACAGCAGCAGCTGCTCGTTTATCTCGAAGCCGAACGTCAGCTCGGTCGGCAGGCTGTTGTTCTTGGCGATGTCGGACGTGGGCTCGTCCAAGAGTATCACCGCCGGCCTGGGAGCGGAGCTCTTCGTCTGCACCTCCGTCGTCGGCCTCTGCTCCTTGTCGGGCTGCTGCGTCGTGCTCAGCGATGATCTCGTCGTCGTCTTCTTGCTCTCGTCCTGCTGACCGTCCTGCTTCGAGTTCTGGCCGCAGGTAGCCTTGGCCAGCGTCGCGTCGTGCTTCGTCGCGACGGTGTTCTGATACTCCTTCGCGACCCTCGGCTTCGGATCGCTGTCCCGTCGAGCGGTCTTGTTGTTGCCGTCAGCCTCGTCCGTGCTGTGCTGCGACTCCTGCACGGGTTTCGCGGCCGCCTTCGTCGTTCTCGGCGCGTCTGCATTGTCGGGCAGCGCGTTCGTAGGATTCCCGGCGGCCTTGCCCTCGGGAACGTCGGCGTTGTGCGGTTTCTTAGTGACCGCTTCGTCGTGGTAGGGACAAGCGGTCTTCTTCACGTGCTGTTGCTCCTCGTACGGTCCCTGAGCTTGTGGAATTTGATTGCTATGTACATAGGTGCGACGAGAGCGGGGGTTGTTGTTGTTAGCTCTCGCGTGAGCGGCCGAGTCCTTACTGTTGACGGTGCAGCAGTTGATGCTCGTGTCGGCGGCATCGACCGGATTGTAGTTCGTCGCTGTGCTGTTATTCAATCGGGCTGTCGTGGAATTGGCGGTCGCAGGACTCGTCGTCACCGCGACGGTTTCGCCGCCGGGACTCGCCGCCGCCGTGTGAGCGGGTGCCAGGTGCTTCGGCTCCTGCTGCGTCAGGCTCTCGTGCATCTTCTCGATGTCCTGCACGTACTTGAACACCTGGATGTTCTTGTTGATCGCCTCCTCCTGGACCTCGGCGGCCTTCTTACCGTCCGACGAGTTCTTGCCCTTCGTCAGGGTCGGCGAGAGCGGCTTCTCGAATGCGAGGCTCAAGCTCGCCGCCGCGTGATTCGAGTGGCCGGAGTTCTGCTGCCTCACTTTCTTCTCCGAATGTTGTATCTCGTCCAGGCTCGGGTAATAGTCCTGGGGCGCCTTGTCCGGCTCCGACGGAGTCTTGGGCGGCACGCTCGGCCACGACGCTGCGTTCAGCATGCTCGGTACGATCGCAGACATGTTCAGTACTGAGCTGTGCGACATGTTAATGGTGGCCATCCGCGCGATGTCCGCGTAACTCGCCTGCGGTGTGCCGCCCGACGACGTCGCGACTTTCGACAGATTGTGCTTCGTGCTGTTCGACGTGACCGGCAACGAGTGGACTGAATCCAGATCGCTGCTGTCCGACTTGTCGCTGCAAGATGAACAATTACTTGTATCTTTTATCTTCCTACTTTTTTTTTAATTTCCCAGAAAATTTGCAATCTGCACGCAATCGGTAAAAAATGGCGCTGATAAAAAATAAAAATAAAAACCTGCTTTTAATTAATTTTAGACACCCATAAGGTGCTTGGATCATTTTGTCTTATGTAGAAAGACATATAGACTATTTATTGGTAACAAAGCTTCAAAAATTTTAATTTTGTTGGTTGGATCTTTCTCGCTTAACTACCGTTTCAAGTACGGTGTAATTATTTCGAATTATCGTAACCGATCAAACTTCAAATTCGAACCGTTGTTGCAATACACAAGGATTGATATCTAGTTCAATCGTTTCGTACTAGTTACCTCGGAGGCATGCTGCTCGCCGATTTTCTTCGAAGTTCAGGAGAAACCGGTGTTCTATACTCGTTAGAGAATCCCCTGGAATTCTGCAGGTACGAGCCCGATGTGGTGAGATTTTGCGCTCTGCTACCGCTCGAGCTTCTCCTCTGCTTCTTGCTCTTCTTCTTCTTCGTAACCACCAGGAACTCGGTCTCCTGTTCCGGTTCTGGGTTCGTCTTCTTGTTAGAATTACGCCGGTTCGTGTAATCCTCCCCCGTGTCGTTGCAATATATCGATTGACCTTCCTCCGTGCCCCAGGATCGTCTATCGCCTCGACTGTCAACTGTCGCGTCTCCGGTGCTCTTTTGCTTTGCGCGTCGCAAGGCCACGTTTATCGTACCTACGATTGCAAAGATAATGTTAGATAATGTATCAATACGTAGTGCAATACGGTGTGCCAAAAGAAATATATTAAATAATAACGTAAAAAGTCGATATAATGACTGCTTAATTGAATCACTAATAACCGGTTCCACCATCGTGGTTTAAACCTAATCGACGATTAACTCAACGGAACTGACCAATCGTACTGATCAAATCCGTTGAGTTAATCGTCAATTAGACATAAACCATAATGGTGGAACCGGGCGTAAGTATCAAACTCTAAGTACTATCAGCACGTTTTTCACTATTTAATCTGTAATAAGTGAGTGAGTGAGTGAGTGAGTGAGTGAGTGAGTGAGTGTGTATGTGTGTGTGAGAGAGAGAGAATCTGTACTAATAACATGTTGTAAATAGCATATCGATTGCAATTTATTTACCATGTTGACTGGATATGCTACTGGCACCGCTGGAACTAACACTCTTCTCCGTCGTCAAGTCTTCCAGTTTAGTCTTGGAGATTTCCTCCAGAGAATTGGATTTCTGAAGTTTCGAAGGCAGTTGTTCCCTCTTGGAGTCTTTCTCTCTGGTTCTCGGTTTTGTGCCGGAGCTGGTTTTCACCCTAACAGGGTTACCAGTCTTGCCCTTTTTGTTCTTCGAGGTGCCATTTTCGATGAAATTAAGCAGGTCCTCGATATTGTTGTCATGACGATGACCTTCGACGTTCTCAGAATTGTAAACTTTCACGTTGTGCTCCTGAGTGTGTTTCCTCCTGGGCTTCTTTCGCTCGCCGTTGTACGTCTGTAAGGAGTTACCATTCTCGTCCAAGGATTTCTTCTCCCCGGACACTGATGGATCCTTCATTGTGATGTGCTGCGTTGCATACCTGGGGCCTTCTGTGCACAACCCATGTACTTTAGTTTACAATAAGTGATATATCATCTTGGAATATTGAGAAAAAAATTAACACACGTATACATCCTAATATATTTGTAGTTATTACGAAACAATTTCTCAAATATGTACTATAAATCGTACACAAAAAAATATTTACTTATAAATATATAATGGAAATTATATTCGTGTTATGCGCCAAATTTACTAATCCGCAAACTCTTAGTTGGTCTGTAAATTTATCGTCTTTTATAAACTCTTCAAACTTTAACGGCATATTAATTGAAACACGATCTATCGTCTCAAGTGCGATTTCCTCGAAACTACGAGCCTGCGGGATTTGTGACTATGACGTAATATCGACGATACATCAATGTGTAATCTTACCCATCGTTATATTCTGCGCTTGCCAAGATGCTGGCATTACAGAGCACAAACTTGGTACGACCTTACCCTGGCTGCTACTTGAACTATTGGAAGCTATACCGCATTTTACGCTGTTGTGCGGTTGAAACGATAGAGCCCCCGTCACCTCGGTACCATTAACAGATATCTTCGACTTTTCTTGCTTGTGCTCACGAATAGGAAATTCTATGGTGGTGTCCACAGGGGTCTGCGTTATGTCGAAAGTCGCCCGTGTGATATATTGAACAGGTGGCTTATTACGTGGTTCAATAATTTTCATTTCAGTTCCTTCGTCGTTCTCGGTGTCTAATGAGCGAGGTCTTTGAACTCCGCTTGCTGCGGATCCAATATTCCTCTCACTGATAGCACCTACCTGCTGCACATGAAAAATAATACATTCAGGGTATTATATTTTAATCTTGAATCCATTAAAGCTCTTTACATCGCTCTTACATTCGTTTACATAACGTACATTAATTTTAGCCCTTCCCGAAATTTCGTCTGAAAGAAGTACTTTACCTCAACATCGCCCAAATCGATCACCATGTAGTCCGACTTATATTCCGGAGGTGGATTATCGGAATCCAGCATCTCATTGGTTCCGTACTTTCCTTTGCTAATTCTCTTCTCACGTGTCTCCGATTCTGTCTCGCCTGAACTAACGACGTCCCTCTTCAAGTCCTTCTTGTCTTTCTCCTTGTCTTCCTTCTTTGTACTAGTATATGACGGTTTGTCTAGAGACTTGGATTTCTCCTTATTAGTCCAATCGTACACCGGTCGCTCCTCGCAGAACCCCTTCTTTGCAAGCAGATACCAAAATTCCTTATACATATAAGATATATAAAAACCTTGTCGAAATTAAATAAAAACCCTTTTAAAGTTATCAAAATGTTATCCATAACAGAACGAACGTTTAGAATAGTTTAGAGGACGTTTAGAGGTTAGTGGTAAAATTGTAAATACCTTCTTGTCAAATATTAGATCTAAGTTGGCCAAAGAAGCAAGGCTATGCGATGCGTTCACGTTCGACGGTAATGATCCACCCTCTCTCTGCCTAGCGGAGACACTGGGTCCCGTGTATTTTTTGTTCTTCCTTCTACTGCTGCCGTAAGTGTGACACGATCCAGACGTCAAGTAAGCAAAACTACTATCGAACTCTGAAGCGATAGGTTGTGCCAAATTTTGTAATGATCCTCCGTGTGTCAGACGCTCGGATACGGATTCCCGTTTGTGTCTTCTACGATTTGAGCCAGGCAGACAGCGCGAATTGGATATCACCCTACGTCCTTCCTCAGTCTCGTCTGCTTCTGCTTCTTGTAAAAGTTCCTGAAAAGTATACGTATTGTGCATCTAAACTGGAAACATCCAACAGGTATCTATTTCTTATTTCACAAATATAGCTCAAAGAATTCTATAAATAAATTCTATAAATACCTTAAAAAGATTAGATTTCCCTTCTCTGTCTTTTGGACACTTATATGTTATAGCTTCGTCCAGCAAAGCACGTAGTTCACCCTCATTTAATGCAGAAAGAGTGGCTGGTTCTTCCTAAAAGTAAGAACAACTGAAAAAATTGCGCCATTTATGCAATATTGCAGAAATTGCACCATATATTTTTCTCCATAATAAATGTATCTACGTTCCTAACCTCAAAATATCTAAGGTTATATAGTAGAGTTGAGCAAGATACTGATTTTTGTATACACATTTCTGAGCGATCTTCATTAAAACAATTAGTCACAATTTAAAAAAGATTACATTATTCAAGATATTACAATACACCATTGATAAAGTCTAAAATATATATAGAAAATCTATCAAAATATATATATATATGAGACACTCCTTTTGACATAATTTTGTGCACATCATAATGTTATTAAAACTTTATATTAAAATAGAAACTGGTTCACACAACTTGTGAATAAATGTGCAGGTATAGATAGAGATCCGTAGAGTGAATTTAAGGTTTCCTTTATTGGATCTGTTTAAAGCTTATAGCAACCATGTCATAAAATGTACAATGTAGAAATAGAGAAATGGCAGATACGCGCCTGGCACATCTACAGTTCTGCAAATGTTGCTCCAAGTAAACATCGGATGCAAATTAATTCGATCAATCCTTACTCTCAACCAATCTTATACATAATAAATAGATAACGCACTTCTGACCCGCACGAGGATAACCGTATTAAACAAATTGTACGCACAATTGAATTTGTACGGTGACAGAATGTCAAGAAAAGATACAACAGGTTAATAGGCGAGAATCGTCAACCAAACGTCACTGTTGTTTCATCATTCATCCATATCATCGCGTTTTGCAGCTTCCGTTTGGATATTTCCGAGTAGAACACACGTGTCCGGAAAAACACCTAGGGGCCAAATACGGGGCCGAGATATTCGTCACCATGACTTACATCTGACAGTCCTGACATCAGTAGGTGACGAGATAAATTTGGAGGTTAAGAGATAAATATCAGTCCGTGCGGCATCAAATTAACCGACAAAAAGGCAGGCTGAACGTATCCACAGACACCAAAATATGCTCGACTCGAAAATGTTTCAACCGGAAGGGAAGGTACGGGCGAAGCAACGTTGAACGCTGTATCACACACTATCAGGTACGATTGGTAACGCAAGACGTGAGAAAGGACACACACACACATATACACGATCTTCTTATCCGAGTCTGCTTCGAAACGCGAATTGTGCTTGCGCGAGAAACTTGAGTGTCAAAGAGATAGATAAATACGTTGGCGGATTGAGAAGGAAAAGAGCGAGATAGGGTGGACACATAGGGCGGGGAGAGGCGGTGGTGAGCGAGCGAGCAAGCGAACGAGAGAGAGAGAGAGAGAAAGACACACACACAAAGAGGTTAGAGGAGAGGCCTGGGGATAACAAGGATACACACGATCTCGTAACGAGTTCACGCGATATCACCGAAAATCGTCAACAAGTCTACAATTCTTCCCGAGGAAGGACCGTCCGGCTGGACGAGAGAGGAACGAGAATAAGGCATTCGACAAATGACGAGAGAGGGCAAAAGAGGGGACGGGGGATTCACGTAGTGAATCGACGTTAAGGACGACGTTGTACAAAGAGTTCGATGCCATCCGTGAGAGAGATCGATAGCGTTCTCGCGATTAGCTAATTAAGACACGAAGCAAGACAGGGGCAAAGGGGAGAAACAGAGAGAGCGAGAGAGATAGATAAATAGATATCAGGGTTGACTTACGAGAGGCGGAGGAAAAAATTCGCTAGCCAGTGCTGGCACGGAATTTATATTTTTAGAGGATCGGAGGCCGGGTCGCTCTCTCAGCGGCGGCACACACTCTCTCTTCCTCTTCTTCGCACTACCGTTTCTTCATCGTACGGGCCGTAACACGTACGGCCGTCGTTACTGTCTTTCTCACGAATGCACCAACGCGCGGATCAACAACGCGTATCGCGGAATATGTCGAAACGCAACAACGTCCAGCGGAGGCCGCGATATCGTTCGGTCGTCGTCGACGAGCGCAACGGAGAAATGTCAGCGATGCGGCAAGTGTGTCCCGATTTTTGAAAGTTAATGCGACAAGCGGACGCTTAACACTGTCACTAGCATGGCTGCCACTATTGCACTGAAATCACAGAGCAAGCCCAGAACGTGCGAAGTCGGCAGAGCAAGTGGCGCCCTCTGACACGTTGTTCCCAACAGTATGTTCCCTTCTTTTCTCTCTCTCTCTCTCTTTCTCTCTCCTCTATTCTACCCTCTCTCTCTACCTTACACGCTTTCTCATTCTCTTTCTTTGCCAACCCCTCTCTACCGCTCTGTCTCCCTCTAGCTCTCTTTCATCGCAATATTCGGTGGTCCGCAAAACGTTCCAACGAGAATGGAATAAATACAAAGAACAAGTATATTTCAATTTCTGGGTCAGGGGTCAAAAATCAATGTGATTACGGCGAGGTTAGTTTCCGACGGCGGGCGGACGGTGCGAAAATACACCTACGGTCTCTATCTTTCTCTCTCTCCCTCCTTCTCTCTCGTGCGTTTTCATCTTCGCGAGCGCGCGGGCGAGTCGTGCGCGAGTCGGATAATTTTTACTTGTCCATGGCGAAATTGAAATCTGATTTGTCATGCACGAGATGGAACGACGTTCGTTCATGTTTACGACAACTATACGGGCGCGTATTCATACCTCGTGTTTGGGAAATCGCGACTCAATGTTATCTAGGACTGAGAATCGATGTGTATCCGACACTAAATACGGGGTTCGATACCAACATACGTGAGGAGCTCCTTCACCGAACTCGTGAAGATGCGACAAAAAATGTGTTTTTCATCAAGACGGTTTCTTCTCGTTTAACGATCGTCTATGTATCTTTATCCGAGTTGTGTTACCCTATATGTGTGTTCGCTTAAATTCGAGAAACCAATTTCGCGAGAATCTGCCGATTTTTGTGAAGTAAACGAAATTCTCGAAAATCCCAGAAATCTTCCAGGAGTTTTTTTTTTCTTTTCAGGAGTGACACCTCATTACGACACACCAAACACTCGGGAAACGCGATCGTCGGTTACCGAGTACATAGTTCTGGGATCCTGGAACGTTTTCTTCCTTCTTTGCGAACGAATCTAACGCTGTTGTAACTGCACAACTCAACGTTCAACGTTGTTTTGCCAATTTACACACGACATCGGTATCTTCCGTGCACGCTTCCGGTTTAAACACTTCCGGATCAAACGCGTCGTGTCCACACGCAGCGTTATTAAACCTTCCTACACGGAGAGAAATTAGCATTCTATTTTTAAGAAAAGCGATTACTCATAGTTACTTTTCTTCTTTTAAGTAACGGATATCTTCAACGACAAACATTTTCTTGATAACAGCCTTAAAATATAAATATACTCATAATACAAATTTTAGAAAAGCTTATCAAGAAGATAGTCAAGAGAAGAATTTCTTCTCTCTTCAAGAATAAGTTTTATCGAAGAAAAGTTAAATTTGGTTAATTTTAATAAGCACATAAACCGAAGATTTATTTTAATTTAATATTCTTGATTGAAGTATTAAACTTACCAGGATTCAGAATATATTTTAAATAATTTGGTGCTTACGATGAACTCAACATATTGCTATCAACTTGCTGATCTATATAACTTATAAAATACTTGAAACAAGAACATTTAATTGAATGCAGTAGAGGAGAAGGTAATGTTATACCTTGTAGGTATTATGGCTCCTCCTCTTAATATCTCCGCTACCAGCTAACGAATTCTAGTCATCATTAATGATAAGTAATGGAATTTTATATTTAGTAGCCTGTCGTTACATATACTGGAAAAAAGATGTGGCAACAATTACTAAACATATAATGAAATAGTCTCAACTAAATAATTTAGTTACACTAAACGAGACATTTAGTTAGACGTACCATGTAACTAAAATATATTGTTTTTTATCGAAAAAAGTGCCTCTAAAAATGGCTTAGGAACCATTTAGATTGGCTGAGAAAACATATTTAAGGCATTTTTATCTATAAAAGAGAGTTCACAGTACGGGTCTATATGATTTGATTACTGTAATCAAATCATCTATTTCACACTATGAAACTATTTCACAAAATGTTTCGTAGTTATTATCAAATCCCTTCTTCAATGTAGTAGCACTAATATGTCGATATACAATAACCGGTATTTATTATAATGTATTATTATTTTTAAACATTGCGAAATGTTTTCAAAGTACATTTCAGCATTTAATTATACATACTTCCTCGTTCTTTTTAAACTTGAGCAATCACAAAAAAAAATATATATATATATATATATATATATATATATACATTTGAATATTTTGTTCATTATTATTACAGGAATATATGTATATTTGAATATTTTGTTCATTATTTAATATTTCATTCGGCTGTAAATATTTCGAGTTATACAAAGTTAAACGGTAGCATAACATTTTGTTCATGTAACCCCTGAGAGTACTGATAATAAATAGGACCTCTCTTTCGAGGTTTTCATATCAAAGTAGTTATTTGATAATTCGATACTAATCTAGCTACTTCGCTGCTGCACTTCCGTCTGCACTGCTGTCCTTCTGACAGATTGTATCTTCTGACAAATAAGTCAATATCTACGTTAAAAATTGACAGTTACATTTATTGTTACATTCATTGTTATTCCTTCTAAAAGTTTATTTATTTTGTATACCTATATAATTTTGTAATAAAATACTCTGTTATTTTAAACAAAACCAATTTTTTAACTTTATTTTAGTTGGGAGGACATTATTAACATCCCTGTTTCTTTTCAACACATTATGCAGTGTCGCCATGTTTTTATAAATAACGTTCTAAGTAATAAATAGATCATAATTTTGGGCCTAGAATCGATTGAACAACACTTTGACGAATGTAATTATTCAGTTCTCAATTGAAAATATTGATTGTCGACAAAGTTATTGTACAAAATGTAAATGGGAGGCCATAATATTACTTTTCCTCTATATATTTTTCCACGTGCAACCTCGTTTTAGCACTCTCAAGTCGAACCTATA